CCCCCCCCCCCCCCACTCCTTCTGTAGCCCTAGCAACGATCTCCCCCCTGTCTCCTCCTGTCTCCCCTGTCTCCCAGCCCTGAATGCAGTCGTATTAGCGGCTGTCAATCACTCTGGATGCCTCCCTCCCCTGGAGCCACTGTGCTCAGAGAGATACGGGAGGAAAATCCATCACCACACAATTGCCACGGACGGGGCCAGAGACAAAGAGCACCCTGGGGTGCACGCAGCTTGTCTGCAATGTTTAAATTAACTGCAGTGTGTCAAAGGGGAGGGGGGGGGGGGGAGTAGAACATCGGGAGCGGCGAGCTATGAAATGACATATCTATGACCCCTGAGCTTTTCGTGACTCGTGTCGCTATGCGATATAAAGCTTTCACGCACACTTTTCAATCATCGGCCCTCTTGTTCCTGCGAAGCCGCTCGTTCCTCCGCTGTAGGCCACAGTGACCGAGAAACGTTCGCATGTGCACAAAGACCTCACGACGATGAAGTTCAAATCCCTCAGAGAAACTGAACTGAAGGCAAAGTCCCTTTAGTGGAGCTGCTGTGAGAGGACCTCATGTGGGTGGAAGTTATCACAGCTTCATGGAGGAGTTATCCCACAGGAAATACGCACGCTCCAGCTTCTTCTCCTTTATTGGATCGCATGTATGACTTCAACTGTTTTTACTGATATGCTTTTACTGCCAGTATCTCTGAATATTTGCATCAAAACCTGCACGTCACCTTGTTCTCTATTAACAGAGTGTGTGTGTGTGTGTGTGTGTGTGTGTGTGTGTGTGTGTGTGTTTGGCTCCATCTACTGGTGTCGATGACTACGTCTGTGCTCCGTCCCCTGATTTCACCTGTTTTTATGTTTAATCCCTGGTGAGTTTGTGCAGATGTGATGTTACAGGCTGAACATACAAGCGTCGTCCTCGTTCATCGTCACATGTCAGTCGTGGTTCATTGTTTCTGGGCAAAGTCTGACTTTAATGTGGATTTCTGGAAAACGTTCAGTAAGGAACAAAGGTTAGTGAGTCTGTGAGTGTGGAGGTTGAGCCTTATAGATTATTACTAAGTGTATTACTTGATTAGGCCGGTTGTTAAGCAGGTTGTTTTGCTGGTTTAGGGTTAACCGTCTCCCACCTTTCATCGAAGCACATCTACACTTTGTAAAAGACGCCAAGACAAACGTTCTTCACTTCTATGCTTGTTTACTGCAGTTGGCAAGTTAGTAATCAGCTGTTTTCCTTCAACAAGCCTATTTTAACATAATTATAAACGTGTAATTAAGATACCAAATAATTTATTTACATTTAAAATAGTTTTGTCTCCCAAAAAAAGAACGAAATGATTCAGGCCGGTGAAGGTCCCCAGTGTCACATCACAGAGGAACCCGGTTGAACTTGATGTTGAATGGATTATTCAACTGTAAATATTGATTGAAGAGTTTTAAACTGTGATCGGCTGATTTTCCGACCTTCTCTTTCTATTGTGAGGTCTGAAGAAGAGCTTTGCTGAAGTACGTTCTAATTGGCGTGCGGTGACCTCATCCTTTTTAAGAGACACGCTGAAATCCATCCTGTCAAAGACAGTGATGGCGCCCTTCTACGCGGCCATCGTTGAGATCATTGAGTCCATCCTCTGCTCCTCCACCTCAGCTCTCCAAGAGCATGACTCATCTGCGATCAGGTGGAGGTGGGACTGAAAACGTCCGTCCACCCTCGTCTCCCCGGGTTTCGGACCCGCCCGTCACTCGTTGTCCCCGTCTCGGGGTCGGAGCGAGGCGCATCCCGAACAACCGCGGCGCTCCTTCTCCTTGGCGTCGCAGTCCAAGCGAGGCAGGACCAGAACGCCGCCCTCCGGTTCGTCCCTGGCGGCGGTGGCTCTCTCATCCTCCGCGGCCATGATGCTCTCCACCAGGCACGTGACGGCGGCATCGATGTTGGTGTCGTCCTGCGGGGGGGGGAGAGGACGAATGGGGCTCAGGCGAAGGACCGGGTCCCCAAATTCCTGTTGACTGACAGCGGGGGGGGGGGAAATGGTCGACCCGTCTCACCTTGGCGGAGGTTTCGTACCAGCCGACGAAGCCGCACTGTCTGGAGAAGTTCTCCAGCTTGGGCAGCTTGGGGCACAAGCCGTGACTCCGCTGGTCGCACTTGTTGGCCAATAGCACGGCTGGAACCGGCGTCCCGTTGCTAAGGGCGACCTGGCGGGAGAAGACCACCGACAGTCAGCCACTCGCCCGCACGCATCGCCCAGAAGGAGGGATTTCAGACGAGGACGTGAAGTATTCTCCCTGCAGTATTTCTTCACAGTGGTCACGTTTTAAACTGACCTCCTTGGGCCAAACCGTGAGGAGCCTTTATTTACATGTGAAGGCACCTTAGCGATGACGAACCTGAAGATGATGCACTTCCTGGGTAACAGACCAGTCGTAGCCGAAGCAGAGATGATGATGGGAAAAGAACACATTGAACCTTCTGGCAGAGGAAAGGTGAAGTCTTTCCTTCTGCTGAGCTCAGGCGCAGGAGGTCTCTCTGATGGCGTTTAGCCTCCCAGGGCAACCACCACCCGCTGGAACACGTCGTCCCGCCCAATTCCTCCTACCGCTCTAATTCACCTTCGAGTCCAGGTCTTCTTTCCACTTGAGGACGGCCTGGAACGTGGACAGTCTGGTCATGTCGAAGACCACGAGGGCCCCCACCGCCTCCCTGTAGTACACGCGGGTCATGTTGCCGTAGCGCTCCTGGCCTTGTGAAGAACGAGAAGCAAAAGGAGAACAGAGTGTAGCATTCGGGGGGAGGCGACGTCATTTGTGGTTTCGTCGCGTCATGAGACCAGCAGATGTTCTTAACACGGAGACGGATTTCAGAAAGGAAACGTTGATTGACTGATTTGTAAATGAACACACGAAAAAAACACCAATTACCAAACACCAACAGATAAAACCCAAACAAAAGCGTCACCTTTTAGAAGATTAGCTTGTAAAAAAACTGAGAGAAAAGGTAATTTTAAAATCAGCCTATTCACCTTCTAATGCAAAAGAATGCAGCTTCTGTGAGCGCGTATAGCAAGTGTGTGACCACGTGTGTGAATGAATAAGTCTCTAGTGGACGCTAACTTCCTCCACATGACCTTAATATAGCCGTGAATCAGCAGGTTGGTAAACGCGCGCAGCAGCGAAGCGCACGAACCGCTTCCTAACGGCGGGTTTTATCTTTGGTTTCATCGCAGGGGCGATTTCCTCTCAACGCGTTACACTGCACGTCATCTATCTGCCGCTTTTGCCGCCACGACAAACGCGCAGTGACGTGTGAGGTCACGGCTCTCGGCCTCCGTGGCTACACTGGCCTCGATCCTACAAATTAAGAGCCCCGCGGAGTAAACTTCAGAACTGACGCTACCTGACGACACGTCGACGGCACGGTGACGCGGCTCATCAACCGCTATTTAAAAGCGAGGACTTCCAGGTTCGGTCTCCACGTGGTCTGAACTTCACCAGCGTTCTTAAATGGCGTCCAACAGACTTTGTGTGTGTGTGTTGATGGTGTGAAAGGATTCGGTTTACAAAATGCTTGGACGCCAGACAGCCAGTTGAAGGTCTTCATCCAGACGATGGAGCGCTCACAGTGGAGCAATCAGCGCCGGATGGCCGCCGGCTGTCCACGTGAACCCCGTGGAACAGCCCCCCAGTGTGAAGTGGTCACAGCGTTGCTGGTCTGACCCGCCAGCCTTCATGCAAAACGACGGCTCTTATCAGCGAGCGTGTGACATGGACGCACACAGTCACACTGAGACGCGGTTTCCTTCATTAAGCGCCTGAACTGGTGGATGGCGGAGGGTGAAATCAGCATTTCCTACGCAGAGGCGGAAGTTAAAGGCGTCTTCGAGGCAGTAACATGCAGTATCATGCGCCGTCATCGCCGGACCAAGTGCATCTGAGTCCGAACCCACTCGGTCCACCACCGGGGGACAAACAGAGTCAAAGTACACGTATGTGTATATAATGAAATATATATAATGAAGCAAAGTCTTGTTTCAAGATATATTTAATAACTTTCTGACCAGTAAGGAACAGCCATGTTTCTAAGGTGCTCGCCATTTGTTTACGGTGTATTTGACTGTAAATGGACCACAAGTTACTAAATGAACATCATGCATGCGTTTAAAACCATCGAATTGGGCAAAGGATGTTTATAGCAGTGTGCTCGTTTTAGAAGAGAATAAACGTCTATGAAGCAGCTTCGGACTTGGAATCCTTCATTTAGATGAGGACATTTTGCGTAAAACGTGCTCTTACTCAGACGTGTGAACTTTTATTTAAACGCTTAAATCCTCTTTAAAAACGTGTTTTCTGGGCCATTTAACACAAAAACACGCTTCTTTTTTTTTTTACGCACCGGCGATGTCCCACAGCTGCAGACGCACCACCGTCTTCTGGTCCCAGCTGAGCATCTTCAGGGCGAAGTCCACCCCGATGGTGGCGCGGTAGTGCTGGGAGAAGACCCGGTGCACGTAGCGCTTGATGAGCGACGTTTTGCCGACGCCCAGATCCCCGATGACCAGGACCTTCAGCAGGCGCTCGCGCTGCATCCCGCGAGCAAGGTGACGTCTCCAATTACGGGCTCGCGAGCAGCTGGAGGGCGGGGGACGGGACGGGAAACACCCTCAACTAAAGTCCTGAGCAAAAGTTTGTGGAAATAAAAGGCGTGAAATGCGCCTTCAGCGGGCGGCGGCGCGCTCCTCGGTGCGTCCGGCAGGTGTTCGGGACGTCGGGAAGGAAAAGCCACGCTGCTGCTGCTGCTGCTGCTGCTCGGACACATCGCCCGATGCCGCTCTGTCCCTCTGTCCCTCTGTCCCCGCTGTCCCGCGGAGGCTGCGGGGACGGGACCGTCAGCACTGGCAGACCACGCCCCCCACGACACGCGTGCCTGTGCGTGCGTGCGGCCGCTATATTTGGCTGCGTTTTGTTGTAAACAACGTGTTCGCGTTCTGTTATGCGATTATTATGTCTTGTGAGATGGGAAAAGGTTATTTTATTAAATGCTATAAATGTGTCTGTATTTGTTGGTTTCATCTAAGATTTTTAAACGTTTATTTTTGCTTCTTGATTTTGCTTTAAACCCTGAATGTGAAACTAAAAAAGGCAACTTGTGTATCGACTCAATCTGTGTTTGTTCTTTGTGCATATAAATACAAATCAGTATTTACGCTATAAATTAACCTTCACGTTTGTTATTTAGTTGTCCGTAGTTGTACTTTATATTTGCTCTGTATTTGCAACTGAGTCCCACAATATGTTGATAAAAACGAGGTGAGCCGGTTGTGGTGGTTAATTTAAATACTCCTGTTTCTGGTAAGTCTGTAAGTTCTTATTTGAACTACAACTCACACCAACCCGAAGAACCCAAATACGATTTAAAACCAGATCCTTAAATCTACATAGAAAAAACTACACCTCCCGGTGTGCAGCTCGTCCGTTTCCGTGCATGCGCACTGCCGAGTGCGCAGGAGAGCGGCGCAGTGGCGCAGTGAGTGTGCAGCTTCCTCTTGCACCGAATAAAAACAAACAAACAAGGGTTTTCACACAAAAATGCAATATTTCCTGAAACCTACGTCTGCTTTTTTTTTAAAATAGGATCATGTATTTACTCACGCACACTGCAGGGATTAATCTAATGAGAATAAACCCGTGCACGTTATTCTTATTATTCCTTTAGAGCGATGGGTTTAGTTCCTCCACCGTGCACGCGTGCACGGCGTGGTTTTCCCTCAGTGCTGCGCCTCTCCGCGGTGCTTTACGGCAGTGGTACTGATGCGGGATGAGTCAGGCGATATGATGCTGCTGCCGCTCCTGCTGCCATTTCATCAGCAGCGAAACCCCACAAACACGCCGCGACGCGCGGAGTCGACACCACGGGATCCCCCTCCTCCCCCCGCCTGACAGGGACGGGGCTTTTTTTCTCTCTCTCGTGGCTCCGGGAGAACGCGCAAGGATCCGGGTTTTTCTTTTTATTATTATTATTATTTTTGAATTCACATCTCATCGCACCAGCTGCGTCTCGGCCGGGCCCCGGACTGCTCGGTGCCATGGAGCCCGCGCCGGCCTGCCTCTGAACGGAGGGAGCGCGCAACCATTCCGGCCTAAGCTGCTCTCCAAAGTAAGGCTGTTTCTCTTCTAACCCGCAGATGTGTGTCACGTCGAGAGCTTCGGGTCCAGATGTTTTGTCGGCCAAGAGCACAATGCGTGCTGTAAGAGGTGTCTGGAGTCCATCTTGATCCGTGTTGGACTGCAGGCACCAGATGTGCATCTAAGCTGAGATAATAAAGGGTATCAGATCATTAAGCCTCGCGTGAAGATGCATTTGGCTTTTTGTTTTTTGGGGTGTCAATAAACGGCATATGTCATGTGTATGTGTATCCGCGGACGCACATCCGGTGTGGGAGCCCACAAAGGGGCCGTGCCCCGGGGATTCGACCACTAATGTTTGCATACGGAGCGCGCGCGACGCAACCCGACTCCACGGGGCGCGTGATGGGAGGCGGCGCGTGTCCGACCAGCGTCCAATGCAAACACCATGTGTCCCCACATGGCGTCCACAGATCCTCCTCCTTCCTACAAACTATGTGAACTAACTGATAATAAATGCCGATTGGAGGAATATGTTTTGCTGAAGTAAATGTGCCAAACTACAAGGAGCCCTGAATTCACAATGTTACAGAAATATCAGCTAAATGTATTCAAAGTATTTTAAGAGACAGGGCAAACCTTCAGTACGAGGACAGTTGTAGTGGTGTTGTATCATTTGTTACATCTAGTTATACTATTCTTTTTTAGGTTTGGATTTTATTTGTCTGACTGGAATGAGTTATTAAACCAAGTTTAGCTAAATGTGGAGTTTGTAGGCGGCTTTAAGTGAACTCATTTCAGAGATTCATGTGGTATTATGGCCAAAATAGTAACAGAAAAAAGTACAGGCATATTTCCTCTCAGATATTTGGACGGTCACACAGTTAAGTGACAAAAAGCCTCGTATTAAAAAGGGCAATGATCCAAAAAGCTGATTTATCAAAACTTCAATGGACGCCAGTGACGAAGAAAACGTAAGAGGATTTTCTCTCACATCTCGTGGTTTCACTTGAACGAGGCATGCAGAATACAATGAAGCACGGTTGTGTGTGTGTGTGTGTGTGTGTGTGTGTGTGTGTGTTGGGGGGGGGGCAGCTAAACCAATTAAATGTTGCATCTCAGTAAGTGAATGAAGGGAGAGTAGGTTAAAGAACATTAGTCCTCAATGTTACAGAAATATTAAAGTCATTTGTTGAACACCTTTACAAAGATACGACTTCAGGAGTATGACGTGGAATACACTGCAGTACTATGCAGTTATTACTACTCAGATACTCTTTCAAACATCAATAGAAGTCATGTTGCAATCATAATTTATTGTGTCCAACCAATCGGACTCAAAGGAACTAAAGCTGTAAAATACATGCAGTAGAATTCTAAAGTACAACATCTGTGTCTCGGGCACAAAGTATGGGTGAAACATTTCCGCGCATAACCTCTCCTTCTCCGTTGCGCGCGCCCGCGCCTCGACAGAGCGACGGAGCCGCGCAGCGGGGGCAGAGCGCGCGCGCGACGGGCCGGTCATGGAGGCCATATGGCTCTACCAGTTCCGGCTGATCGTCATCGGGGACTCCACGGTGGGCAAGTCGTGCCTGATCCGCCGCTTCACGGAGGGCCGCTTCGCGCAGGTGTCGGACCCCACGGTGGGCGTGGACTTCTTCTCCCGCCTGGTGGAGATCGAGCCCGGGAAGCGCGTCAAGCTGCAGATCTGGGACACGGCGGGCCAGGAGCGCTTCAGGTGAGCGCATGCGGCGGGTGCGTGCGTGGGGCTTGAGTTAAAAAAACAAATGGGAGATTACTAGCAAAATGTAAAAGTATTACTATTAACAAGCGTAAAGTAGAGGGAAGCGGTTCATCCCCCTCGAACATCTGACCGACAAACACGAGAGAAACAAACCGACTCAGCAGATTCCTCAGCTGATCTCTGGGAAATAACAGAACAGTTCCCAAAAAACAGAATTAGAAAAGAGCTGCTTTTACAGAACTGAAAAAAACAACCTGCTGAGCTTCAGCAAAGAGTGGTAGGTGACCTTTGACCTCTTTGCTGAATAAACAAACAATGATTACATGATTGCAGAATCTAATGTCTGACACATATTAAGATATACTGTTAAACATGAACTAAATATAATATAGTAGAATTATGAGGTACTGCCATCAATACAGAAACATGCATTAATTTCCTTAAACATAATGTATATTATGGCCTCTCCACGACTCGGCGTCTACCTGCATTATTCAGTGAGCTTAAATCTGCAGCCCGGAGGTCTCAAAACTCGATTTGCTACCCGTGACCGAGTTGTTTGCCTCCACGAAAACACACGGCAGTTATTTAAATGAGGCTTAAAGTACAATTTGCCACAGGGCTCATTTTCTAAACATAAACGCACTGAAGGGCTCTTAAGGGAGGAGATTTGCGCGTGGAGGTTTTCACCTTTGGTTCTGTTTCACGCCGTTGAAATGACATTTGAAAAGGTGTCGAGGGGGGAGTTATTCTGGGATGTGTGCGAGGTCCCGTGAGCAGGCGCCGTGCACTGATGAGGAGGATGGAGTTTATTAACCAAACGCCATCTGCGTACGAATAAGTCCCCGTTTACTAAAGGATGTGGTACTGAGTGTGTCCACACATGCTTCCTGTACCACAAATGACCATTTCATCCTTTTCCCCCCATAAAACGGTATAATATTGTCACTGTAACAAATAAAAACTGCAGCGTCGTGGTAGTTTAAAAAAACATCATTTTCAGGCTCCAAAAGTCAGAAATATTGATTTGATTTGTGGTTATAAATAGAAGGCCTCTTGTCACAGCCCACAATGATGTTAACCGCCATTGTAACCATCTCAGGAGAGTATTTAAGATCCACCAGCACATTTATATATATATCACATTACGAGCTGCAGACGTTGGCACGTCCATATTGTAGACCAACCGAAGGTCAAAATCTGTGCGCCGACGAAAGAGGACGTTTCTTCAGTTTACAACCTTCCCTGATTGGCTGGCGACATTGGTCACAACCGACGCTAGCATCATTAGCTAACCAGCTACAGCTGACAACAGGTGTTGTTTCTGAACAAACTCTTGACACAACCCTCCTCCTCTTTCTCCTTCCTCCTCCTCCTCCCTGCAGATCCATCACCAGGGCCTACTACCGCAACTCCGTGGGCGGGCTCCTCCTGTTCGACATCACCAACCGCCGCTCCTTCCAGAATGTCCACGACTGGCTGGAGGAGGCCCGCAGCCACGTCCAGCCCCACAGCATCGTCTTCCTGTTGGTGGGCCACAAGTGTGACCTGGAGGCTCAGCGCCAGGTGGGTAAAGACCACAACAATGTCAACAGAGAGCTAAAAACGCGTTGCAGGGGATTAGGGCCCGTTTTGAATGATACGTAACAATCAACAGAAGCAGTAGGTTAAAATAACCTTGGGTTCTCATTTGTTTGTTTAAGTCTCTCGGGGCAACAGGATGCCAAAAAAATGTCACGATCCAAAATGTGGATTTTACGGGATGAAGCGCACCCATTTAAGAAAAAGTGTGACAGTTGGCGGCCATTTAAAAAAATCTAAGCTAGACCTTTGCAATTCCCTCTGGGCGCCTTACGTGGGGAAGTTTCATCTCGTCTCACCCGCGATCTTTGACCTAGGTGACCCGCCAGGAGGCAGAGAAGCTGGCGGGCGCTTACGGGATGCGCTACGTGGAGACGTCGGCCCGCGACGCCATCAACGTGGAGCACGCCTTCACCGAGCTGACCAGGGACATCTTCGCCCTGGTGCGGTCCGGCGACATCACCATCCAGGAGGGCTGGGAAGGCGTGAAGAGCGGGTTCGTGCCCAACGTCGTCCACTCCTCGGAGGAAGTAACCAAGAGCGACCGCCGCTGTCTGTGTTGATCTGGGGAGAGTTTTTGGGGACTGAGGGTGTAAAGGGGGGGAGGGCAGGAAGGATTTAGAGGAGGGTGGCTGACGGACTGAAGGGTGTCGGCCCTCTGGTTTAAACCGCTGTGAACCCTCCGTTGTTCTTTGTTTGGACCGGATACCGAAGGGGACGTTTGAGGACTTTCAGGAAGACGATCGGAGAGGAACACCTTGAATACCTGGAGGGCGGAGCCCATTTCCTTTAGCTCTGGGCCTCCACAAACGTCTTAGAAAGAGGATCCATTTTGGTTCTTGCCAATTAGTTGCCGAAACACTCGAGACTGATCGTGTCTTTCTCCCGTCACCTCGCGTCCCACCTCTTCTTAATCTCCTCCTCTCGTCCAATATGCAATTACATGATCACATACCAAACGATCACTTGGTGTCCACCATCGTCCGAGCACACTGAGCATATTTCAGTGAAATTGTCAACACGTTTGAACCATTCTGCTAAACGCCACTCTAACGAAACATCGTCACTCATCCGGTTACTAACAGACTCGCTCAGCAGGAAGAGGCAACGTGTACAGCTTCAGTGGGCGAGGCGGACTTGTTGGACTCGCTGTCCTCCTTTAACTGGGGACAAAGTGAACAAACAGGACCGACGGAGCCACAAGGCACTTTAAAGGGCCGAGTCCACCTCAGCTGTGGAGGCACATTTGGGTTCTGGAAAGCGAAGCAATCACAGAGGGACGAGACCACCACAGATGAGCAATTGTCCTTATTATCGGCAATGCACGGACGATATAATCATGCAAAGAAAGTCCAATTGGCGGCCATTGAATTATCCCGACACCGGCGCAGGGAACCTGAGGTTATGATTAGCCTTTTTCTTATTTGTGTGCACAATATCTCACCCAACCTTTATTTTTCTCCTAATGTACAGCAGTGCTACAGGTTGATGTACCGTCGACTCACCATGGAACTTCACTGGGACGAATCGGGTAGATTTCAGATACCAAACAAAGCCGATTGCTAACTGCAACGTCACGTGACTAAGTGCAAACTGAAGTCGGTCATGGTTTAAAAATGCTTTCTTTAATCCTCACTCCAGATGTCAGGCCAGTTACTGGCGTTTCTTTTTTAAAGCCAATCAGTGAATCACAACGTCATATGAAATGTTTTTCAAGGAATACCTAAATGAATGTGCGTTGGAAGGTGATTCACTGATTACATCAATAATCTAGATTCCAATTTAAACTACATATTCTTGAGATTAGCACTGGACCAAATACATCCATCTGTTCTTATGAACCACGTCAAACGGCATACTTGCTTAATTTGCTGTAATTATTTTTTCAGAACATTGGAACAGCTATTATTGAAGTTTTGTCCTTAATCAGATGCACACTCCCAAATGAATGCTCATTCCTCGCTATGATCTATGTGTATTTTCCTTTTATAATGATTTCATGCAATGCCTTTCCCTCCACAGTTCATAATGACAGCGAGAAATCTGCAAGTGCTTCATTTTTTCACGGGTTGCCTTCTTTGTCTCCAGAGGTCTGCTCGTGTCTTCGTTATTTATCATGAATGTATCAGTGGGGAAGAAAAAGGAGAGATTTTTACAAGAAACGTGTAAAATGATTCAACATGCTGATTGTTACAAAAAGAACTGAGACAAAAGGTGATTTAGATGATGTGAGACTTAATTGGAAAATCATTGAAATTTGAGTTCAATTACATTCCCTTTAGATTAAAATGCTGCATTATTCATGACAGATACAAGAGACACTTTTGGATACCAGTGTTTTTTTAATCGAACATTTTCAAGCTGCTGGAAGCTCAGAGAAACCTCTCAGCTTTTTACTCAGATTTTACTGTAAAAATACTGTCTTTGTCATTTGGGGAACTTTTGCTTATTTGATTTCTTGCAGAGAACTTCTTATAGATGAGAAGATTAACACATCTCACGTATGAGCACATAAAGCTGATTAGCGTAGCTTAGCATAAAGATAACTAGCATAACAGAACTATCCCAGTTCTTTGATCGTTCTCATATTTCTAGACCAAACCTGCAAAATACTTATTTTCTCATTAACGTGAAACCATCAGATCTAAAAACAACATGTGACCAGTTAGTTGTCGGTTCACCATTTAAACGAAGACTTACTTCTCACATCAGGTGTGTATTGTTTTCTGGTATCGAGAGGCGATCCTTTGAAAGAGTTAAATATGAAAGTGGCATCAGCTGATTCCAGTAAAACACAATTTGATCAGTGTGTGAATGAAGCAGGTAATTAACCACCGAAGACCTCCTTTACTGGAGAGGTCTACGATCAGCTGCTAACGATCTGCAAGAGGCCGCTCAGGTTTCTCCGGCCTCTCGATGGAGCATTAGTTTCCTAACATCGAGTCACATGACGCTACTGGAGCCGAGCCGCTTCGGACGTTCTATTCAATCTGAGCTTTAGTTTGGTGGAAACAAGAAGATGTGAACTTGGGAAAGTTGCTGGAACGATTCACCCCGAGGGGTCGAGGGAGGCTCTCGTATGATGGAGAGCGCCTTCAAATGTGACAGCAAAGCAATCTGCTACCGTGGCTCGTTTCCATGGAAACGTATGATACAGTGAATTACTGGCATTGCCTTTACACTTGGCTTGACTTAGCAGAAGGAAACAAACTAGATCATCAAAAGAAAACTATATACATCAACCAGCAGATATAAACTCACCACTTCACAGTCCGGCAAAAAACAGAGCATCTTGTTTTTACTCACTTGTCTTTATGCTAAGCTATTTTAAAGGATTTCCCAGATGTCAAGAAAGCACATACGCTTATTCCCAAAAACATTGGTCTGTGAAATGTTTCAGTGGATTCTGAGGTGAACTTTCCTGGTGGCGGCCGATGTGCTCAACTTCTCGCCCCAAATCATTTGAAGGCCCAATTCTATTGTGTATTCTGATGAATGCAGAAAGGATCTCGGTAGCTTCTTTTTCCCCCCAGTAACAAGAGAAATGTAATAATGAATATCTTAGAGAATTGCACGTGCAACCTCTCGAGACTCGGCTTTCCTTCGACGTGGCGCACAGACTATTGTTCGCACAGCGGAGGAGGTTTGACCTGTAGCCGTCTGAGACAACGTGCCTCCAATGTGCCGCCCAACAAAAGCCCTCACAGGAGCAACAACAACAACGACGACGACAATGCTTCACCTCTTCTCAACCCTCATAGCTGTACAGACTGAACTGTATCTCACGGTCTCTTCCTCTGCTCTACTTATCTCAACAAACTGAAAATGTACTAAAAAAAAAAAGTGAATAAAACGTGACTGGAATATAGAAATATTCTCGCAGTTCATTTGTGGGGGTTTTCACACTGTTGTGTTCAGATACCTCGGGATTAACAATTTAACGGGATGTATAATATCTTTATTAAAGACTGAAGGAATATTTTCACAATCTAAATAGGTTTAAAAAGTCAGTTAAGAGGCAGAAGTAAATTCTCCAGGTAAGAAAATTGACATCTGTAAATTAAGATATCTTATCATTTCATTTAACATACTTTGTTGGTAAAATATAACTTGCGGCACACTATTAGAGATAGTGGTGCGTTGTCAAAACGATATTTAGTAAATGTCTAAATGTCTCAGGTCATGGTCACAGTGCCTCTTCGTCCCGGATGATGAGCTGCAGTTCCCCTCGATGCCACAGGGGGAAGCAGTGAGGCGCCAGACAGAAAAGCAGCTTTCTGCACAAAAACAAATCCAGTTCAAATGTTTCCTCTACGAGTTGCTTATTTAAAATTGTGAGGATAGAAGGACTGGAGGAATATTTTAATGCTAATGCATCAATAAATATACTAATTTAAAAGGATAATAAAATTAAAATGCAAATGATAATATTATCTTTTTTTATGATGCTTTAGTATTATTCACATGACATCAGTCTTCCTCCACCAGACATCGTCAACTAGAAATAAAGATATGGAATGTTTACACTCAACGTTCTCCATTAAAATATAAAAAACACTTTCAAACTGCTTCTTACCAGAAGAATAAAAACCAGAGTCACGGTCTCGTCTCTTTGCGCAAATGTTCCTTTACTTCATTCAATGCTTAATGAATACAGGGAGAAAAATAAATACAGACAGAACAGCGGCCAGGAGGAGCAGGACCAGGAAGAGCAGGACTACCGTCCTGAAGCACAACTCGTCTCACTTGTGATCGTCGTCCTCCTGCAAGCCGGATTCTACCGAGTGTGATTTCTACACAACGATTTTCAACAGTTAAGCAACAAATAAAAAAACAAAACCTTTCCCGTGAACGTCGTGGTGGAGCAGACTGGTGAGAGGAGACAGAAGAAGGCGACGCAAGAGAATCTCACACGCTGAAATCATTCAAAAGACGACAAACAAATGGCCTTGCTGCCTCAGTTTTTACTTGAAAAAAATACTGTAACAAATGAACAAGAACAGTTTGACTTCAGAGGGTTCAAGATGACACCGAGTTAAGGATGCGTGCTTGATTTAACCACCCGAGGGAGATAAGAACAAGCACACACACTTTTGACGCGCCCTCTTATCCGCCGAGCTCTGTGGTTTGTAGATTTCTTAAAGGAGAAGATGCTGAGCAGAGGTGTGTGTGTGTGTGTGTTGCTCTGTTGGTATTAAGACTTGTCTGCTAACTTGAGGATGTTCTCTTTGCTCCGTCTCTTCACGTCCCAGTTGTAGACGCGTGCCATGTCTGGGGGGGGGCGGCGAGTTAAGGAGCAGCAGGGTTTCAGATGTGCAGCAGATTGACCGTTTTGGTCCCTAGAGAGTGGCGCTGATTCAGGGGCCACATTTAAAACTATAGAGAACTAATGGAAGGAAAAATGACCACCAACCAGAACAACAAGCGGACGCGAGCTGCACTGTGGAAGGATACTGACTTCGGTGGTGGTGAACTGGTCTCGCAGGAAGTCCAGGTCGTCCTCGAGTGTCTCCAGGTTGCGGGATGCCGTGGACAGGTTCTTCTCGAGGAGCGCCTGGGCCTCGTCAATGTCGTACTCCAACATGACGTTCGCCTTTTTTGGGGGGGAGATGTAGTGAGGACGACCCACAAGTCACTTCTTTTGGTTTCATCCCAGGTGTTAAACTGCTCTCGGGTCTTAAAGCCTGCGCTCTACTCACCCCCAGCCAGAGGCAGACCTTGTCGGTGGGGGGCACCGAGGCCTTGCAGTAAACGTTGTCGGCCAGCATGAAGTGGGTCTGCATGGGCGCCGTGGTCTCCTGAAACAAGGACGAGTCGGAGAGAGCACAGTGAGCACAACAAGGGGACCGTCGGGTCCACAGAGACATCGACACCAACCTTCTTCTTCTGCATGTGTCGGAGGATCTCCAGCGTCTGAATGATTTGTGGGATCTGGCTTTTCAACCTGCGGGTCGAGAGAACGAAACGGTTCAGCAAGAACGAAGAAAGAAGATAATTTTATCGTTATCAGGGGGGGTGTTACCTGAGCTTCTTCTGGGACAGGTTGAGCTCCATGTACTTGTACTTCTGGTATTGTTCGTCCAGCTTCCTCAGTGCTGCGTCGGCCGTCTCGTTGCCCGGCTGCTTCAAGAAAGAGTCCACGTCCTCCTGGGGGGTCCAGAGGGGGACAGTCACGTTAGTCTGTATACTTCTGACACAGTATCAACATTAACAGTGAATGGTGACAAGTAGGAGCCGCTCGCGCACTCATGTCCATAGATGGAGGCGAGGAGCCGCCCCGCATGAACACACAGCGGGATTAGCTCGCCTGCTAACGGAGCTAGCTAGCTCCTAGCCGGCGTGACGCGCGCGCACACCAACGACTACGAGTAGCGCGCAGGTGTGTTCTCTAACGTTCTAACCCCGGCGGGGGGGGCTCTTGTGATAAACGTATTAATGTGAAGCTTTACGCACCACAAACACCGCTTCGGGGATCCCGAGGTGCTTTCTCTTGGTCGCCTGAACGGCATCGCTGTTGTCGATGGTCGCAGCCATCTTGGAGAGAAGCTAACGCCTTCTTTTTCTTCTTCTTCGCGTGTTTTAATGCCAGTTGGCATCCGTCTCATTGGTGCATTAACGCCACCTTCTGCCCCGGAGTGCGGATCAGACACTTACTTCCTATTTTTCTCCCGAAATACAAACATGTATTTCTAAATAAAAAACTAAAAACAAAATAAGAAATACAAATAAAATAAGAACTAAACATTCCTTCCTTCCTCCCTCACGTTGTACGTTCCATACGTAATTTACTTAGTTACGTAACGTACGTAAACCGTCTGAGGAGCAGCGTGCGGCTCGGCTGCCCTCTAGCGGCGATATTCTAGGGGAGATAGACAATCCCTTAAAAATGAAAGACTGATTTTTTTGTTTAATTGCGTTAGTTTAATTAGTTTTGCTAACATGTTTGGTAACCGCACCAGCTTCTGTAAAATACGTTATGTAGCTTAAGAAAAATAATTTCTCATCACACAAATAAAAACATTCAATTAGATATCGGTTTGTGTATCCAAATTACATCTTTATTCTGATTGAAAGTAACATACAGCCGATGTAAACCTCACTACCTACAGTTCTTATTCACGATGCAGCTGAGAAAAGAAGACACACACACTAAGTAGCAGGTAGTCACAGTTTAATGCCTCACAAAGCAGAATATTAATCTGTTTCCTTTCTTTCTGAACAGGAACCAGAATAAACATTAGTCTTTGATGACGAGCAGAATGATGCTTAATGCAGAATATGTTCAGAAGTCAGAGTCTCTGTTAGAGGAGCTGAAGGTCTAGAACAAAAAAACACTGGATTTCCTTTGAATCTCAGTCAGAGAAAAAAAAAACACTTTCAGTGATGCTGGTTGAGAAGTTACACAATGACACAACTTCATCCTGAGAAGATCATGTAGCAGCATTAACAACCTCTTCAGTGATCACATTATGAAATAAAAGAGTGTTCACTGCATAGACAGAATGCTGAGAAGTGTGTGTACCTTGTGTGCTGTGTGTATTTAATCTGCTTCTCTCTTAACATTTACCTTCATGTGACACGTTTGTATTATTGAGGATGGATTTGATCACTATGTGACTTATTGAAGTAATACAACAAATGAAGAGACTGATTTGGGATTTTAAGATGCTTTATTGAATAAAATATATATTTCAGTTTGGTCTGATGAAACTAAACTAACTGACCTTCACACACACAACAAGGGCTCAGCGTTCACCAGCTGGGCTCCCTGAGTTGTGGTTTTGATGAGTTGTATCTTGTACTGATCTCTAATCCTTTTGTCGATGCAGAGATAAAATGAATAAAGAACCAGTAGAGCTGCTGTCAGTCCCAGTAGTCCCAGTGCACAGTAGAGAACGATCCATCTCAGACTGGTGTCACTCGTTGTCTCAGGTTCGGGTCGATCCTTCACTGCTACAAAGAGACACAACAAATCTGTTTATTCATGTAAAGAAAAAGGTTTATTTATCTGAATAAAGCTGCTGAATTAAACGTGTTAGTAAGTTTAACTTAATGAACCTACCAGTGACATTGAGGTGACATTCCTTATAGTTCCTCCCATAACTTGTGAGCACTAGACACCAGTACAGCCCCGAGTCATTAGTCTGGAGTCTGGAGATGTGAAGTCTGAGTCGTCCTTCTCTGAGGACGTCTTTGTCCCACTGGACTCGTCCTGCAAAGCGTTTATCCTGAAACTCTGGGACCTCGACACCTTCATACAGATGAAACACGACTACGGGTATCTTATCAGCTAACATCTCACAGGAGACATGAAGGGCGTTGGGGGAGGGGTCCGTGCTGGTGGGGAACATCCATTCCAGTGAGATGTTGTGGTTCTCCTCTGCATGATACCAGCTCTGTGTCACATTCACTACAAATGACCCTGCTGAGGAGACAGAGAAGGAGAGGAGGAGGTGACAAAGTGACAGCTTTAACATGGAGCCTTTAGACTCCATCTCCAGATGTTTCTGAGGAGTGTGTGCTGATGCTTCACAGCTGCTTCACAAACACAAAAGTGAACTGACCACAGACACAGGAGGTCAGGATGAAGATCACCAGGATGCTGCAGATCATCTCCTCCCTGTGAGAGGAGACAGAGGAGAAGAGGCTCAAACATCATCATCATCATCACATCAGGAATCAGGAAACGATGTCTTTACATCTCTTTAGATTTTGTTTCCAACTGAAACTCTTAATATCCTTTAATGTCCTCACTTAGAGAAGTATTTCTTTGCAGGCCACACCATCATCAAGGAGAGAACTCCCCAGCACAGACTCTTCTCGCTCCTGCAACAGGGAACATTAATCTTTGTTGTTATAGATTTAAAAAAAGACTTGTAATATCTTAAAGGACATATCAACCGACACACCGGACACGCAGTCTACTTTAACACAAAGTGACATTATCTGGACTCCGTAACAGACTTTCATCAGAGGACTTACACATGTGTTTATATAGAACTGCTGTACCTTTATGTTTGATTGGGATTATATGTTTTACGTTTGAATACAGCTGTTTTCCTCGACGTCCATAAACACACCAGTAGTGGAGTTAGATGTTAAACGTCTTGCAGTTGGCATCACTCAACTAAACTTATCAGTTTAATATTAAACCTGAAATAGTTGCCGACTCACTAATTGGTAGATTATTTGTCCAGTAACATCTGGATATAAATTGGTCCATGTTGGACACGTCACGTGATTACTGGCCGGTTTACGTGCACAGCAGAGTTGCGCAACATGTTGAAGATCCGCACTGAATTGACGGTAAAAGCTGCTTATTCTGCCACTTCTTAGTATTTGATTGTGCGTAACTGCTACATTTGTAATCCCAACACACACATTGCATCTATAAACACAAGAATAAAGAGTACAAATAAAAATGCACCTTTATTAAAGACAAGTATTTAATAAAGATTGTTTTAGTTTTGTCTGGGTACCATCAGCCTGCACGTCCTGTACTGGAGTGTGGACCAGTTCATTAACCCTCTACGAACTAAAACACTCCTTAAAGACAGCGGCAGGAACTCACGGAACCATCTTCTGTTCAGAACCCTTAAAGTAGGATTTCATCTTTAATTTGACTCCAGCAGGAGGACGGATGCGTTTGACCAAATGATACAAACACCAACATCAAGACATTAATTAATTCATTAATTCATTACCTCGCATGTCCTCAGAACGCGGTTCTTCTTCTTCTGTCTGGACTCTTCACAGCTCGAGGTGCGCAGCGAGGACACGACGTGTTATAGACTGAGGCTTTAACGAGACGCTGCTGCAGGAGCCGTGTGGTGGTGGGCGTGGTTTAGAGTCAGTTTTAAGTCGGACCTGTTTGAAGAGACACGCCTCTTTTTGGAGATGCAGCGAGGACAGAAACAGAAGAGAAACTATGAAAGGAATTCACATCGCTCAGACGGTTCGCTTTGTAGTCAAAGGAGTATCTGTGTCGCCGTGTCGTCAGGGGGAAGAGCGGGTGCGCTGGGAACCGCAAGGTTGGTGGTTCCAGTCCAGGCTGCCCCATGTCTCAAGTCGAAGTGTCCCCGAGCAAGACACCTGACCCCTAATTGCTTCCCGGGCAAAATGTGAAAAAAGCCATGTGTTTAAAGTGCAATGTAAGTCGCTTTGGATAAAAGCGTCTGCTAAATGTCCTGTAATGTAATGTTTACACCCAATGAGGTGACTGATGACTTAATGACTAATGTCTTATTATCATGTAGATTCAGCATTCTGCTCTTTCTCATTCTGCCAACAAACTGGGGACAATGTAATTCATCGGTGGTCTGTTGTTCAGGTTATTGACTATAAATGTTGACCCGAGCCTCCGATTCAACAAGTCCTGAAACCCCAAAGACTTTAAATATGTGACGTATTTACTATAAAACAGACAGTTTAGATCTTCTGATGGAATGAGAGTGAACATTGTACTGTTTGTTACTTGAGTACTTTGATCTAATGACGCTTCATGCTTCTGCTCCTTAAACATCTTAATGTACTTTACTACATCTCAGAGGTCAATGTTTGAATCTTTACTTAACTACAGGTCACAGTTAGTTACTCAGTTACTTTTGAAGTACTTGTACTCTTATTGAATACTTATTAGCAAATGTCTTTCTATTATCTGCTGCATATAGAGCACCAGTCAAAAGTTGAGACACATTTTCTTATCGATTCGATGAGAAATTGTGTCTAGACTGACAGGTACTGAATTCATCTGTGTGTGTGTGTCACCAATAATGCTGTGAGGTCAGTTTATTCACTATGAGGCTCTCAGGTAGAAACATTCTAACCTGTAAATAAGTCTCATGATTTATCCCTTATCTCAACAATGTGTTTTTACATCCATTAAGGATGAAATATTGAAATACTGAATACTGAAATATTTCATCCATTGAGGATGAAATATTTCACGCAATAAGGTACTCGAGGCAGTTCCAGTTCAGGACAAACCCTTAAAGTGTAACATTGACAATAAAGCACAGCCTCGACTACCTTACTGCTTTTATAATACTGTCATCAGCAACATTATTAATAGTAAGTAAATAGCTGCCTTGTGGCCTCATTTCAGTAGCCTGAAGAAAATAGTCCCTGTACGTTTGGCTGCTGCTGTACAACGGAGATACAGCAACATCACGCTTGTTAGCACCAGGAGTTGCTTTATGATTAGTTGGGAGATGGACATTCACTTGTGCGTCGTCTGAAAACATCCCAGGTCTCTTTGCAAGATGTCGCACCATCTCATTCATTCACATCGCTCATGACGTCCACCTCAATTGTCCTCTTTAGCTAAAAGGCGTCTTACATCTCTCATTTGAGGCACGTCGGGTCTTTTTTTCGGTGATTGCCACCGAGCTGAAAACTGAAATGACAACTAACCACCAACTAACTGTTAGAGTTTTCACTGCTATGGAACGCTCAGGTAAATGTAAACAGGTTCAGTACATTACGGCTTAATACAGTACACCCTGTGACTCGCTGTCAACCAATCAGAATGCTGGAGTTCATCTACCAGAATAATGAAAAGAAATATGTCTACCTTAAAAAAAAATGTAAA